AGCTAATAACAACTTTTACCCCTTAATCCTTATTATATGTATAAATTCTATGGAACATGTATCTAATAGGCATTATGCTTTATACAGTGTCAACCTGAGATTATACTGTATGGTTTACTACATAAATTAAAACAAATAAAGCAATTTTCTATGAACTTACAGGCAAATAAATGTGGGAAATGTCATCGAATGCTACTCCTTAAGGGTGCAAAACACAGTTTTATGTATGACGTTATCAGGACGTTACCTGGTGAGGGACAAGCAAAACTGACCCCTATAAAAAAATAAAATGGAGGATTGTTACATAGACTTCTGCACATCAATGGAAAGATAAAATTGTGAATTTTGTAAATTTTATATCCAACTATAATACATTCATCAATTACTACTAGGGGGTATTTGACACCTGAAAAATGGGGGATATTAGGCTGTTTATGCATCCATTTTCAGTGCACTTATGCATTTTTAACCCCCCTGCTCAACAAAAACAGAAAAAATCAGACAAAATAAGTTGTATGCATTTCACAGAACAAGTCCTAAGGTTTTCTTTTAGTGTGCTTTTAGGGTACATTTTCCACCTCTTGAAAGAGCTACATTACCTGCTAATTGACTCATGCAATTCTGCACATGTGAAAACTGGATGTTTTGGGAGTTGAAATTGGCCCAGTGGTTCTTGAGAAGAAGTCGAAAATGTGAAAAGTTTACAACGACGACGACGACTACGACGACAACGACGACAACGACAACGACAGACAACGGACAAATTTTGATCAGAAAAGCTCACTTGAGCCTTTGGCTCAGGTGAGCTAAAAAATTGAATCCCCTTCACCTAAGGATACTTTGTGGCAATGGTTGAATTCGGTCAAGTGGCTCTTGAGAAGAAGATGAAAATGTGAAAAGTTTATGACAACAATGATGACGACAACAACGACAGACAATGAAGAAATTTTGATCAGAAAAGCTCACATGAGCCTTCGGCTCAGGTGAGCTAAAAAAAATAGTAAGCTGAAAATTGTTACGGATCTCTTAAAATCAGGTCTACATACAGGTTTTGATTCTTTGAAAAATAGGGTTGAGTATTGCAGAAATGTAATAGGGTGACATGTAAATGTCTATATATGTAACAGGGATGGGGTCAATTACATTGGAAAGTAATTAATTAAATTACAATTACTTTCCTTAAACCTTCAATTTAATTACCATTACATGGATTTTGAAATGTAATTAATCAAATTACAATTACTTTGCAAATGTAATGAATTAGATTACAAATTACATTCAAGAAAACACGAATAAAAGTAAATAGTCATGTATATTCCTTTACATTTAATAGTATACAAAATTATTTTACAACATTTTTTACAGTAATATTATTAAAAGCTTCATACATTTTTCAAATACCGTGTAACCTAACCTTATATATCTTCGATTAATTTGAAGATTTCCCTGAATTGCTGAAGATTCTTTCCACTGGGGTATTTGTGAGAAAAATGCCTACATGTAGATACTGACTAGAAGAAAGTTTACAGATGGTTTTACCTTAATTCATGTGTTTAAATTTTGGAATCATTTTTAAGCTTTCCAGTAAAGAAATGATAAATTTATGCTAAATATACTTTTGATGCTTTAATTTGCCTTTATATTTCCTTATTTCAGCATAATAGGTTTACCTCAAAATGTAGGTATTTGACTTATTCTGTGCCAAACTACAATTCAAAGTCAAAGAGTGTATAAAAACACTAACAGACAGTCAAAAGTGTGAAAAATGTTTATTTAGGAATAAGTATATGACCCCAAGACACTAATTAGCACTTGTTAATTACTTCCAACGCAAGCTGAAGATATACCAAACAAAAGGATTAGAAGCCATTGGAATTCTTATTTTCATATGGATTAATTAATTAAAAATTCAAAATATGAGTTTTATTTGTAAAATTTACAAAGATTAATCTGTTTTTCTTTTAAATGAAAAGGGGCATTGTATTTAACAACAATTAATTGACATAAAAAGGGATGTTCTTTTCAAGAAATTTCACTATTGAAATTTTTGGTCCAAAATATACATTGTAAGTTATTAACCTTTCATAAATAATGTTATGAAATTGAGGGAGAGGAGACTATTTCTCATTTATTTAAAACCAGTGTAATTGAATGTAATTGAAAAGTAATTGTGAATTACATGCTTTTTTGGAAAGTAATTAATTAAATTACCATTACTTGTAATTGAAAATTTGGTCAATTACACATTACTTTGAATTACATTGAAATTTGTAATTAATTACAGTCAATTACCAATACATATTACCATTACCCCATCCCTGATATGTTAAACCATTCAAGAAATGAGATTTTGACAACAGAAATCCTGTGCATTCTTAATCATGTTAATGGCTAAATGTAGAAATTATTTACCTTCTAACTTTCTGTCTTTAACAGTGAAAAGATGTTGATGGACTTCCAGTCCCCTAGTGGAGTCTGTAACTTCACCAACATTCTGACTTTGACTACTTAATCGCTTCAGTAGCGTTGTTTTTCCAGCCTCAGCACATCCAACAAGTATTCCTCTGGCATGGGACACGGTTGTCTTCTCCTTTCTCAAGAACGTTTTTAACTCATCCACTTTATCTAAAACATAAAAGAATAATTAGAATTATTCTCAGAACAAACAGATGATATTTATTCTTTCATTTGATGAACACAGGAAAAAAATCCAAAAGGGCCTTAACAGTTACCTGAGCATAGTATAGCACTGTAAGGATAAAAAAAATATAATAAACCAAAATAAAAAAAACAAACAAACATGATTCCATGTTGCAAAGTGAATAGCAAAGGGAAATAACTCACATATTAATTTAGCCCAAGAACCAAACTTTTTTTACAAAATGGGTCAAGAATTTCACAGGTCTGTAAAATATAGCCATGCTTTATTACACTGTACTTTTTAGCAGAGTAAAATATTTTCAAGGAAATAAAACATAATAAAACATTTTCACCGTAGATTCAAAATATCTTAACCCTCAAGGCCTCAGATCAACACTAGAATTCCATTTACAGAGGCCTTGAAATACACAATTTTGAAAGAAGAACTCCACCCTTTATCTTTACTAAACTCTTAATTTATTTCCTTACTATCTAAGAGCAGAGAAGAGATTTTTTTCTAAGAAATAATGTTTTCTGTATTTACACATGTTAAAATGTTTAATCAATAGAGCCCCTCTCCCTATTTCGTCACAAGGGCACTGAACTCACTATTTCTATGAAGTTCATCAGTTAAATTTCTAAAAGGAGAGGGGAACACTTTCAATTCGTTTTCGAATTCATGTATTTTTACAATAGGACCTTTAGAAAAGTACCCTTAGACACGAGAGAAGGCCAACAGGAGGATGAAAATTTACAATTTGGGTTTCCCTTTACTAGTAACTGCTATATGTCAGAGTAGGTTGAAACTGGTCCTTTAGTTCCAAAGAAGAAGCTTAAAATATATGATGTTACCATCTGCTCATGTAAAGTAGGAGTCCACTGGGAATAAGTATTGCCTCCTTAGTTACACATTCATACACACCTGGCCTCCACATAGTAACCTTTGACCTTGTTAATTTTATCAGAAAGAACCATTTCATTTACAACTAATGTTTTGTTTTAAGAAGATCAACTACAAAAACTTATTTTCAAATCCCTATAGCCCACACCCACCCACTCTACACCCATTTACATATAGATTTTAATTAGCCTGGTCCCCTGTTTCATCCTACATGATTTTCTACATTAAAATTTAAACATGTTAATATAAATACAAAAAACAATTCATAACCATATTTTTTCATAACCCATTTTTTTTATATGGTAAATAAAAATATTATATGTATTGTATACGTTTTTCTTTTGTTTTTTTAATCCATTAGCATTTTAAACAATATGCATTGTCAATCTATGTCAAAAAACACAGTGTTGTTTATTTAGAGTTATCTCTCTTTGTCCAGTCTACTTATTATTCAACAAAGAGTAAACTACAGAGACAATTGTTTATATGTTTCAGTAATATCTATACACTTGATTAATTGACATGTGAGAATAATTAATTCCAGAGAATGTTTTACAAGTTGATAAACATTTACATGTATTAACATGATTCAAACATTTTTTTTTCTTTCTAGAAATCACTGCTTTGCCAAACTCTTTTAAAACATGTAAAAGTATTCTAACCATAAAGTATTAGTTAAACTACAATTTATAATTTGTTATCATCCTCATCTTAAAAATATTTCTTGTTATTTATTGAGACAAATTATAATTCAATGAAAGATGTAATGTAAACAGACTTATCTAAATGTTTTGTTTAATATAACACATACAACAGTGAATGTGTCTTCCAAAATAAGTAAATGACTGTAGATAATGGTAGATGTAGCATTGTACACAAAACATAGTTACCTAATACCTATACATGTAAACAAAACACACAATCATATAAGAATGTAACTCACCGGTCAGATTGTCCCCTTCATTGATAAGTCTGTAAATGTTTACTGTGTTGTTGTACGCTGATCCAACCCAGAGAAGCTGTGTATCACGATCATAACTCAGGCTGTGTGGTAAGTATATCCCGTGTTGTTCTCTGTCTATCTGTGTCAGAAAGAGACCATCCTGGTCAATGATATGTACTGTGTGGGTGTTATTATCACACACCAGGATGTGTGACAGCGCGTCAGTACAGATTCCACGTGGTGATAGTCGTGATCCTGATGGAGTACGTGTGTAAGAGAAGCGGTGTATCCCTCTTCTGTCTGTCACCACTACAGCATCACGGCGAAAGTCAGACACAATAACATCTCCATTGCGGTTCTCTGTGATGTATCTAGGACCTCTATACAGTTCCTGACCTGTGTTATCGTGCTGTATGGTCTGTATGTGTTTTCCTGTGTTAGTGTAATGGTGTACCTTGCCTGTATATGTACCACGTCTATCCATGTTCATCGCGACCAGCAGGTCTCCAGTGGAGGGGGAGCTGTAGACACTCCGTGGTACCCCTGGTGATGCGTATGGTATCACTGTGGTCTTTACTTTATCTGTAGACAGTTTAATGATGTTAAAGTGACTGTCTATATAAATCACAGCACTATCACGCGTCACAGTATGTACTCCACCACCATCTTTAGTTAAATCTGTCACTTGATCTAGTTTGTCTCCTGTCCTGTTTGTTAAGATGAGATTGCCTTTACTATCACTGATCCAAACCCGGTCCGTAGACACGTGGGTAATGTGACTACACTTACTATCACCTGGCACTGTGACAGATTTCTGTAATACTGTTGTATACATTACTGACACCAGACTTCTATTTCTATTTCCTGTGACTTTATAATTCTGTGTTGATTTCCTTCAGTCAGGGAGATCTCTCTGTAAATTACAACATTGTTCTAGAATTTTCTACATCAATAACAGGGTGTTTACAGATATTGTATGCATCTTGCCCAATCTGTTCAGTAGTTTGAATATATACATCTATACTTATAAATTAATAAACTTTGCAAATAAACTCCGAAATGTGTGCACAAGAGTTCTTACTTATCCCTCTAATACTACACGACATACAAGATGATGTCCGTAAACTATATATAGATTTCACAGGGATTGTAAGTATCATACATAAAATTAAAAGTCTACTTCAATATTCTGAAAACAACCATGAAATAGCATCAACGTGAATATTGTGGCGTTTCCGGTTGGCGGATCTAAGCTACTGACAAATTTTAATGAAACTGACAACAAACAATCTATTATTTATTTCATAAAATGTCATCACTGAATTATTCAGTCAAAACTTGATTTAATTGATATAAAATAAATAAGTTGTGGTAACCAATTAAAAAAAAAAGAAAAGTGTAAATTATTTTTGTCAATCGCCGATCTCAATATTGACGGAAGCTTCTAGAACATTACTTTCTTTTTTGCTATAGTGTTTTAATCAAGAAATAATTATAAATATTGTAATTAACAAGTTATTAGATTAAATAGTTTTACAACAAATGATGTTATATAAATTAAAATACAATGAAAACAATAATTTTGTAAAAACGAGCAAAATATGCTTGAAATTTATCAGAAACATATTGTTGCCGGGAAAAACACTAATATTTATTGATACAAGGATTAAATGAGTAGACAAATGGTACATGGCGATCAAGCGATAGATATTAAGAATATTCGATTAGAATTAATGGCAATCCGACAGCGAGGTATCATGACGAGAGAATGACAAAAGAAAATATTTAAATTAAATACAGGAAATACATATATCGAAAGACTAAAATAGAGATGTAGTGTGTATATATATATGTGTTTATTATGAGTTTATCGGTAAAAACTGTATATTTCTTTCAGGCAGACTTTTGAACAAAGTATTTCTTCCCTCTATAAGTCTGTAGTCTGTCAGTAAAATCTACAACTTCCAACTGCAATATATTTAATTTTCTGTCTGTAAATGGTAAAGTTCTATGTATAAATTCAATTTATCTAGTGTATTATATAAAGCGAAATAATTATTTAATATAAATTTATTACTACTTATTATAATACGCCTCTCTTTATAAGTTTATTATTACTTATTATTAAGATCAGACCATCCTTACAAAATATGTCTGCTTGCCCTCTCCTGACTGAGGATAAAAAACAGGGTAGGCAGATAAGGACTAAATTCTTTTCTTTATTCGAAAACACCTGCAAATGTGAAATCAAAAAATTTTTATTTGGGCTGTTTTAGTTACTAAATTGTTGAGAAAAGGCAACCAGGCCTTGTGTATCAATGTTCTCGATTTAAGAAACTGAAAAACTTAAAAGTATCAAAATACACATAAACATATTAAATACCTTTCTATTGGGAACTGAGTCCTTTTGATGTCTCAATAGACAGCAGCCTCCAAGTGTTCACAATATTACCTGTCTAACAAATCAATATTTACAAATTATTCAATGGAATAAAACTATATATTTAGGTATGTATAAATATAAATTATACATTTTCTGAAATGATTAGCCCAACAGATAGCCATGATCAAAAGTTTGTTGTGACATATAACCAAGAGGCCAATGGGCCACATTGCTCACCTGAGTACATTGTCAGGGAATAAGCAGAAATCAGTTCTTACATGGGCCGGGGTGGAGGCGGACTTGATTTTTTTCACTTTCTGAATATTCTTCCATTGTACATTGTACAACATTGTAATGGCTTTGCTGTTCTTGAGAAGAAATTTAAAAAAATTCTTATATTTACTTTTGTAAAATTTTGATCCCCTTTTGGGGCCCTCCTCACCCCAGGGGGTTATGATTTACACAAACATAATTTTCACTTCCTGAGCATCCTTCAATATCAATATGACTATAAGCAACACTTTGTTGATCATGAGTAGATTTTTTCCTATATTCTCCTGTGTAAAAAAAAGTTTTACACAGGAGAATATAGGAAAAAATCTACTGTTATCTTTCCGTTCCGTTTTCCGTTCCGCGTTTTAGCAACACCCTATTTGTTGGCGTCAGATTAGCAAATGAGGCACAAACGTGATTTCAACTGACAAATCAGCTGAATGAGAATTGCATTATGGGTTACTACATAGACGAATACTACAGGAATTTTACACTTGATAAATTCCTTTATTGTACTATCGGTGAATACAATTGCCAGGTGGAATCCCTGGCCAACACACGTGATCACGAGTATAGTTCTGTAAAAAAAAAGTTTGTCCATTTAAATGCATACGAGAAGCTGCTCGCTTTCCTTACCCTTGAAGTTCTGATGTTCTGAACTTGATACTAACTACGTATAACATTTTATTAAACATATTTTTCTCTAGTAAACAACAAATCAAAAACGCCCGTGATATTTTTCTTAGTTTCTAATGTTTGCATTTTGTTCATAAGAACATTTTTTTGTATTTTGCACTCCATTGACATGATCATAGGTTGGCCTGAACCACGTGTTCGAAGTAACATGTAAACATGTATTTGGCCTAAACGCGTTCAATCAATAATTGGTCAGTCACTCGTGGTAAGCTGTGCGCATTAATAGCAATAGCCAAATAAGGCAAACAAAGGTTTGTCAGTAAAGATGATATTACTCATTTTTTAAACAAGAGTATCGGTCGCTAGTGAGCTGAAATAAGATGTATTAATTGGTATTTACCCTCCCCCCCCAACTATTTCTGTTGAAAATCATGAAAGTCTTTCAGAAAGGTGTGGAAACACATTTTTCAAAGGACATGTTTTCAGAAGAAACAGACTATAGCAATTTCCTGTTTACTGCCATTTTATTTATAAAACCGGATCTACCCTATAACCTTTGAATAGGTAAGCCTAAACCACGTTTCATGAATTTTTAAATCACAATAACATTAGTAGGGGTGACAAAAACATTTATGTACAGTGACATTGCATCGTTTTTAAAAAGGGGTGGGGGGGATTGGGGTCAACCGGAGTTTTTTTTTTTCAACTTACCAGGAAAAAGACGACACACACACAAAAAGTGAAAAATTGCCAGACTCGAAAATCTTATTTTTTTGCGGGGGGGGGGGGGGGGGGGTCTTTCAATAACAATTTCAGTAAAACATATAGTTCTTTACCTTTATTTCACTATACTGTGACGAAAATTGAGGAGGCAAATGGCCTTTCAATGAATATTTCAAATAGTAAAATTTATGTTTGGAAAAAAAATTACATGCCTGATTGAGTTCAAAGGATATACATGTAGTTTCGTTATTTCGAAATCGGGAAAAAAATTGAAGAATGATTTATTAAACCATATTTTTATAAGTCTTACATGTAACAGAGCATATGCATGCCATAGGCGTTGAAGACAAGAAGGAAAAAGGAAATATAAGGGTTGCTTAAAAAACAGATTAAAAACTAGAGGTACTGTGAGCATGAGCTCACTAAATGATACCCCCCCCCCCGCTTCCAATATGGTTATAACTGGTGAAAAAGTCCATGTTTTCCTGTGGCCGGGAAACCCAAAATATGTGTCAGATCAAAAAGTAAAATAGGAGGTGCACAATGGCAATATGTAATAAATATTCTGTGAAAGTTTCATCAAATTTCATTCAGTGGTATGAGAGGAGTTGCGGATAAGAGATGGGTACCCCAAAGCGTAACAGACGGACGGACAGACAGACGGACGGACGGACGGACGGACGGACGTACAGACGGACGGACAGACGGACGGACGGAATTAACGATTACTATATACCCTCCCGCTTTTCAAGCGGGGGGTATAATAAAAATGTATACAGTAGTAATTAAACTTATTGCTTTCAACATTGAACCGGTGCTTTCAACGTGATGTGGCCGTAGACGACATCCAAAGTCGAAAAAGTTTTTTTTTGTTTTGTTTTGTTTTTTTTTTAAGTAAAAAATGATTGAAAAGGAAATGGAGGGGGGTTTAATTTCTGGATATCTGATTGACGATCGAAACAAAGTGGCACGCCTTGATGGCTGTTTTAAAGCGAGGCTGTTAGTTTCGCAGGAAAGTCCCGGTCAAAAAAGAGAAAAGTTGGAGACAGGCGGGGCTGGAGTGCATGTGGTGGTCGCTTTTATTGGTGGAATAATTTTCAGTGTGCATTGGGGGCGAAAGGGTGGGCTGGTTAAATTTTGGGACCTACCTATTAGAAATGCGAAACTAAGGCCTAAAACCACTCGTCCGGGATTTCCTCCGAAAGGCGGAGTGGGTTCACGGGACAAATTGTAGCTCGAAAGTAAGGAGGTCGAGCCCCTAAATCTTGCTGTTCTGGCATATGTACAGGGGTTGGTCTGCAATTTGTGTGGTAGGGCAGGGCATAAGCACGCGCCTGGCAGCTGTTGGGGATCACGAAAAAAGGGCAAAATGGTCATGAAATTTTTGAAACTGTCCCTGTGTCATCATTTGAATTCAATGTTCTGTAAGTGTTATATGTTTTAATCTAAAAAAAATATGGATTTCGATTGAACGTGAATTTCAAGACCGAGTTTCAAAACTTCTGGCACCTGCATAGTGCATAGCAGCCTTTGCATTAGAAACGAATTACATACGTTTTGCTGTCATCGAGTTTAAAAAAAATATTTAACACAAGTTAACATTTATTAATTTCATTTTATGTCATTATAAAATTTTTTAAATATCCGTAAAAAATATTTCCAATGTAAAATGATTTTATTATTCACTGAGGTTTATAAAGAAGTATTTGGGAAAAGAAACAAGACTTAAACACCAAAGAATTGTGTATTTTTCATTATATAGAGATTTTTCCGGAGCCGAAAATTGGCATCGCTACTCGGCCTTGGCAAAGATCCGATCAATTTAATAAGTTTGTTCTAAGCTTATATTACAGAGTGATAGGATTTGAAGAAATGTCTGAAATATTGATCACGGCTCATACCATCAAGATGACGTATAGAGGTGTCTCTATCAAAACTGTAATTGTGGGACAGTTTATTTACCTACCCTTCACCTTCATACTCTTTGATTAAAACATTGTAGTCTATATTTTAATTTGTTAATCATGTTATGTATGCCTGTGCCATTTTATGTGCCATGTGGTTATTTTGTTATATTAATTTGAATGTTTTTTAAGTATTTTATTTTTGTCAAAAATTTGGCAGGATTTTGTTTTGACAATTATGTGCTTTATGGACCTTTTATTCGTCAAAATATTTTTGCCTAACCGATGATTCTTTTCAATTGGGGAAATGCCGTGGCCTAATTCATATTTCTTTGTACTAAGAAATTATCCCAGTGATCCCCCTTAACTATATTTGTGTTATATACTTACTTTCATTTAAAAAAAAATGATAATTCTCACTCAATAAACATTGTATTTGTTGCTGTAACCTAGCCAGATCACTAGGATTACATAGATACATGGTTTTTTTGCAATATATTTCATTGATAATGATGATTATCTGCAAAATTCAAAAAGAAGATGGGTGCAGCTTACTTTTCGGAAAAAAAATTGTTTCAGTTAAAGTCTCAAAGAATTGCACTTGAAAAGTAGAAAACTTTATATACTTTTTAAGGATAATCTTTTTAAGTAATTATTAATTTAGAACCACCTTACCGATGATTGCTTGCAACAGGGGAGATACATGTACCGTTGTCAAATGTATTGTTCTTTGTAGTAATAAAATATATTTGTGCTATATACTTTTGTTATGTAATAAATGACAATTCTTATTTAATATACATTGTTTTTGTTATATTTCAAATACATAGTTGTTATATTTCAACTACAGCTGAAGCTAGGCAGATCAGTAGAATTGCATTAATACTGTTCGTTATCTCAATATATTTTGCAAGCTACGTTTTGGACTTTAATTGCTATTTTTGAATGTTTCATATTCTAATTGCCTTAGAATCAATTAAGGAATGTTGCTAAGTTTAGAGTGAGTTATTGGTGTGTAAATCACACAAACTTGTCTCGAAGACATATTTTTTGAAGCCCGCTAGCGCTGCATTAAAATTATGCTTTTGTGCATATCTGTCTGATTTACTCACAAGTATTTACATTCGCTGTGTTTTTCTACTAAGCCAACTGTGAAACTGATTTGAAAACCATTTTCGTGTATACTCACGGAGAAATGTGCCTTAACGTGATGTGATAATGGGTCTGCAGAGACTTCAGTAAATTACAACGATATAGGGCAGCGAGAAATTCAAATATTGAGTAAATTTTAGTTGCTTCCAAACATATACTTTTAAGCATAAGGAATGATTTTAAGTTTAGTTTAGTCTAGTGCGCTTCATTAAATATACCTACGTGACAAGTCTGTGTGATTCACACACCAATAACTCACACAAAACTTAAAAACATTCCTTACAACCAAGCTATATGATAAACGTGATGACTTTAACTTTTCTATCGTCAACTTCCCTTACTTATGCTGCAATATACCTTCATCACCTGTATACGGAGTATTTATATCTCAGTTGATTCGATACGCAAGAGCATGCTCTACGTATGAACAATTTCTTAAACGAGGTAAATTATTGACAAGCAAGTTGATGA